GTAAATCAGCTTAAAAGACACATGCAGCAAACATATAGCCGTACAGACACAGGCGCACCAATGGCACAGCTATAACATTCATACTTTTAGCGCCATAAGGCAAGACTTTTAAGCTTCAGTTGCATAAAGCAAAACTTATCAACAAATTTATCAGTTGATTGTCAGTCGAACATTTACTACAGGTTTGTTCTACAAACACATTACAGTTTAGAATAGCACGGCATTTTGAAAAAACTTTATTTTGAAATTTAGTATTAAAATTATTTCCAAACTGAAAAAGCGCCAAAAGACCTTATTTTAAAGCTGTAATTGTCAAAAGAATTGCTTAAAACGATATATCTGTATCCAATATATCCAAACTTTCTAGTCCAAGGTTTTTTTTTCAAAAAAGAAAAGTTAAGTAACGGCATTGTTCCTTTTGTTGTTGTTATTTGTTGCCACTATTATTACTGTTGATTTACTGTTGTTGCTATTGTTATTATCATTATTATCATTATTACTATTATTATTATTACCAATTATTATAATTCTTATTACTGTTGCTGTTGCTGTTATTGCTTTCGCTTTCAAACCACCAACTATTGTGGTTAATATTTGCTGCAGGTTACATCAAAGAATGTTGCCCGTTGAGGAAATCAGAACGACAAAAACTTCCAGGTATAGCAAAAAAAAAAAAAGAAGAAAGAACAGAAAGAATAAATAAAAGTAGTTTCATAAATAAAAAATATTAAAACGGAGCAAAAAAAACAAAGCTTTACATTCAACAGAAAATAACTTTTATCCTTAGACGGAGGAGCAGTTCGGTTTTATGTCCTTGACAAGTCACTTTGGTCAGTGTCTTTCCTCCCCTCCTCATTTGTTAAATTCAAGCACCTTTTTAAAACATAACATTAAAAATTGAATAAGGGGTATTATTTTAGGTGGGATAAAGTGTCGGCCGTAAAGGCAACGCTTCATTTATATTATCTTTTTGTCATCGGAACTGCTTCTTCGTTATATTTACCATGTGCATCACCGAGCGCTAAAAGCATGACGGCTAATTTACAAAGCTTAATATTATCCAACAAACACTGTGTGTAGGAAACAGTATTGAGAATTAAAAAACAACAAACTGCATAAATAAAAGAAGACAAAAGTGGTGTTCCTCAGAAAAAGATTAACGGTTAACGGATCTAACTTTCAGTTGGCCAATCTGTTTTTTACAACTGTACAACTGTTGTCTTCATGTAATTTTAAAAACTTTATGTTTTTTATTTTTATTTATTTATTTTTTAATTTTTTATTTTTATATATATTTGATTTTTTTTTTCAATCTGTTACTGTGTATAACATTTTTTAAATATTTTATTCCTGTAGTCAGTATAAGACTGCGTACTGCTGCAAATCAAGTAAATGGTTATCTATGTGTAGGAAAATACTGTCAGATTAGATATTGATCTAGTAATTCCAACAAAAACAGTGTAACAATGTTTGAAATTTGAGAATATCTTTGGAAAAAAAAAGAAACAAGGAAAAGTTTTAGAACTGTTACACAACTATTGCTTAACGACTTTTTTTATTTTGTAAAGAAATTGATATCAGTGGTTTTCAGTGCAGGTAGCAGTCATTATATTTCAATCAAATGTTAAATTAATTGTCATTGAAATACATACCAGGAAGTAAAATTAAAGAAATTACTAGCATTCAAATAAAGTACACTGAGTTTGTATAATGTGGTTTTTTTCTGCAATAATAAGAAAAAACACTTAGTTAGCTAATTATTTGATCAACTTTGTTTTATACTATATTGCTATGACATTCATTGGTGTCATTTGTCGTCTTCACTCTTGGTTTATATGAATGAATTATAGAACACGTGTTCAATTTTAAATGCATATTTTAATTTATTTTTACGTTTTGCATTGATTTTTTTTCTTTTTTGAAACTGACGATTAGCTTAGAATCCCTTGGAGAATTACCACGTCAAACGTGTAGTAAGTTTTTCTGAAGATACCGCATCTGAGACGATGACTAAGTTATTGGTACAAATTAAAAAAGTATTCTTCTGTAGTGCTTACGAATGGCTATTGCAACTGAGCTTCAAGCACTTAGCGTCCTCTATCAAAACTCATATTTTTCTCATGTTTTTTTTAAGTAACTTTAAAAAAGGTTAATCAGCGGCACAAATAAATAGTTTTGCTGTTTCAAATAGCGTATTTAATGACTTTCAATGTGGTCGTCTACCTATTTCCTTTTTTTCTTTTTTTCTGTTTATGTGGTATTTTGACTGAGAAAAAAAGATAGAGAAATAAAAAATAGTGCCACTATCTAATTTTCTTTTCTGTTCTTGATTTGTGCACAAAGAAAAAAGTATATAGAATTTCTTGCTATTTGTAGACAAACAAGACTCGATAGTTGTAGTCGAGCCTTTGCCGTGGGCCGTCAGAAGGCGGCAGCAGCATATAGTTGGTGATAATTCTACAGATGTCGCTAGAAGAAGAAGTCGGCGAGGCACAAGGATTGATGATACTGATACAGTGGCATATTGCCCTGTCTTAGGTACAGTAGACAATTCAGATTTATTCACCTTCTTCCGCAACTTTTTCTGGGTTTTTTTTATTTATTGTTTTATAAACACATCTCTCGACTTGTTACTGCATTTTATTTATTTATTTTTCTACTTTGCGATAACTGAAGATGAATTTTTACTTTGGTAAAAAAAGGCTGTTTTTATTAATTTCTATTTTTTATTTAATTTACTTTACTTTTTCGCCGCCTGAATTTGCATCATTTTTGCTATTTTAAGTTTGCTATTTTTTAAATTTTAAAAGAAGGCAAAACAGACCTTTTTTTTGCTTCTTTGTTGATATTTAAGGTTATTTTGACAGGGTTTTTTTTTGTTGTCGTTCTTTGCTCTCCTAACTGGTTTGTTTGAAAGATTGACCAATTTCAAGATTGCTTCCAACTTTTTTTTTTTTAATTAAACCCATTTCTTCCTCATTCCTTCCAATCCAAAAAAGCTAATAGTTTCTTTTTAAAAAAACCAGTGACTTCAAAAAGTGTAGAATGCTTTACAAAGAAACTTTTTTATATTTCTGCTTTTTTCCCGCCATGCCGATTCGTGGCAAAACGCCAATTTGAGAAATAGTACCTGCAGTAGTTGTTTGATTTAACCAGCTTTTCAACTGCTTATTCTCAGCGAAAGACGGAGCAATTCTGTCCAATTTTCATCACTTGCATTCAACTTATCATTCGCAACCTCGTTTACACAGTAACTGTGCTGTGTAAATTTATATTTCTAGGAAAATTACCTCATTTTTGCTTTAAACTGTATTACCTTCTAAAATAGTTTTGATTGAGTTTTAATCTTTTTTTTTTTATTAATCGTGTAGAACTGTTTATGCTTTTAAAAAAGAGTGAAGAACTTGAGACAGGCTTCACAATAACTGTGATCATCAGTAGAATACGTTCTTTGATAATTTTTTGATGAGAGAGATTTTTATACCAAAACAGGTGTACATACTGGCGTGAGGTAGGTAACGTTCACAATTTGCCGTATAAAAAAGAGTAATATATAAGAAAGTGAAGTAAAAATTGGTGAATTAGGAAAATTAAAAAAGTTAAATTATCTCAGTCACACATTTTTCTAGGCTAATAAAACAAGTAAATTGTGAAATATCGTTTAGAAGATGTGAAACTGGTGAGGAAGAATGTGTCGGACAGTAGTGATAAAATACAGTAGTGATAAAAATAAAGTGAAATTAATGCGAATTGCAAATTGTAGCTGTTTGGCAGTTTGTTACGAAAAAAATGGCGAGAAAAAGGTGTTAATTAGACAAATTTTTTTTTAATGTGTGAAGAAAATCAACTTTTATCTAACACGAGCTTTGAAATTTAGCTTTTTAACTTGTTTATTTTTTATTTATTTTTCGTTGTTTTTGCCTGATGAAGACGATGATAATGATGATGACGATGATTGCACTCGCATCGCCAGTATTTTAGAAAATTTTGCTTTTTTTTTTCCTTTATAAACACAGCACAGCTGTCACTTCTGATCGTTAATAACAGCACAAAAAGTTTTTGTCTTATTTTTTTTTATAATTACTGTTAATGGTTACTTTAAATTCTATCAAGATTGACTGGTTTGTCTTTTTCTCATCAAGCTCAACATCAGTACACTGTACACCAGATGTATTTTAAATACTGATTGTAGCTTACTGGATAGTTTACTGCATACTGATGCTTTTCGTCAATATCGAGTTGATTTAGACAACCTGGTTTTTCTTCCATGCTCTATGCTTTTTTTGATCCCGAATTTATCTGTGGGAAAACTATCATTGTGATTGCCGTTGATTAAATGCCAAGACTTTAATTTGTTGGAACTCATGAGGTACTACTTTTGATATTGATTACTGTACGAATTTTGTTGTTGTTCCTGTCGGAGTTTAGCAGCCAACTTGTTCAGCTGTATATTTCTCTTTTTCGTGTGTCAGTCTGTGTTTTTAGAATTTAATTGGAAGTGTCAAAGATGGAACTGAGTAAATTTTTATAAATATAAGCATGCAATTTACAGTTTTTAAGCATTTGGAAGACTGTATAAAAAAAAGGTCGTAACATTCTTTTTGATATTTCTCACTTTTAAATTTTAGTTTTTGATATGAAAACAAATTTAAGAAAAAGACGAATTAAAATTTGCGTTTAGGCACAAGAATATTTCGCTCAATAGAGATTCCTTTCAATGGTACAGGTAGATGTGTTCTCAGTTCTGATCAAGCCAGACATTACTGCGGCACTAAAGAAGGTTTGTAAACACAGTTTTCAGTTAGACCTGTCAATGCTCGGTGTTCTTATGCATCGCATAATCGTTTCGTCGACGTTTCGTGGTAACGTAGCATCTGAAAGCTTCAACAATCAACAACTGTTTTGTCTCTTTCCTAAATACATATTCGGATAAACTACGCACGGTGAAGTGAAGCTAACAGCAGCACGGCTGCGGTGTCTCTTCGTAGAAAACAGGATAAATGTATGGTCATTTACGATTTGTCGATATAAGTGCAATGAACAGATGCACCAACGGACCTGCTACGGCTGTGTACCATGTTGTTTTGGCTTCAGTATCGACTGTTTCTTCTTTTCGTTTTGTACAG